ACCAGGGCGTGAGCCCCCCGGGGAGGATCCCACAGCACACAGTTCCTCTTTGAATCCCCCCGGCGTAAGCCGGCTCAGTGACCTCAGGCCAGGTCTCGGGCAGGATCAAGCGGGCTCGGGGGCACCCTGGTCACCCCTCTCCCAACCAGAAATCAGTCTGGGATTTTTCCAAACTGAAGGCCACAGAGATGGTATCTGCCTCCCGGAAGCAGGGAGTTTATCTGGGGCTGAGGCCCCAGGTGTGGTGGAGTGACAGTCTGGCCGGGATCCTCTTCCCTGCCCTCCCGAAGCTGGCCAGGGGCTCCCCACGCCACCAGCCCCACCAGAGATCCGCGGGAGGAGTGGGATTGGTGGCCGCTCCACAGGCCCCAGGGGGCCCTGCGCTGAGGCACACAAGTGGCACGGCTCAGAGAGGAGCCATGCCAAGCGAAGATGGCTGGCTTGCCCGATCTGAGCCGCCGGCTCCGCCCCCCCGCCCGGAGAAAATGGAGGCAGTGCTGCTGAAGGCGCCTAGCCTGGTGTGGTAAGCAGGGGCCGGGCGGGCCTTTGCCCCCCAAGCAGGGCTGGGCTGGGGATCACTCACAAAGCTCCCAGAGCTGGGCCGGTCCGCACCTTCCTCTCCGTCTCTGTGTCTCCGCTGCCGTCTTTCCTGGCCTTTGTTGCCTTGGGCTGCTCGGTCTCCCGGTTGTGGCACTCTCAGGAATCTTCTTTTGCATCGGCCCTAAAACCTCGAGACTGTAGTTGCTTTTTATCGTTGTAGATTAGTTGATCAGTGATTTATTTGTTTTTTGTTGCTCTGGGAAATGCAAATAGTACTCTGGCAGCACAGCGCACACTTCACAGGCTCTCTCTGTCCTCTGGCATGCTCACTCCAGACCCGTCGCCATCTTGCTCTCCCTACTTATCAACTTCTAAATCATTTTCTTTTCAGTCTAATACTTCCTTTCTTGATTTCAACCCAAAGGTCAGCTCAGGGAGAGTGCCACTACAGCCCGGCGAACAGCTGCAGGCAAAAACGGCGGCGGCGGGGGTGGCGGCTGAGACGGCGATGCCCTTGTCTTCTCTGGAGGCTACAGCAGCGACGCTCTCGCTCCCTCGCCCGTGTCCAGCAGGGTGGTGGATGGCACGTGGGGACGGAGCCTCCTTCTCTTCAGCGACTGGGCTCTGAATCCTCTGCAGTAGCCGCCGAGAGCCCAACGGGTGGGGGAGGGGACCTGGATATGTGATCTTAATATGTTCATTTTAGTTAGAAGTGACATTAACATTCCTGTCAATGGAGGAAAGGTAACACTCTATTTTAGAATTTTTGGTTCACGTGGGCCCAGGACCATCTTTGAAGTGGAGGGCAGGCATGTATGGTAACTCTCATTCTGCATCTCTATCATGTACATTCTATCTCAGAATGAATCTCGGCCTATTCACTTCTCTCCACCTCCACCATCATCTCTCTAGGTACCATTGCAACAGCCTCTTAACAGCCTCCCCACTTGCCCTCTATGATCCATTTCCTAAAATGAGGCCAAAGAGGTTCTTTAAAAAATGCAAATCAGATCATGACTCCCTGTTTAAATCTTCAATGAATAAATTGAAATAAGTATCCTGGCAAAATGCTTAAGAGCACACACTCCACCTAAGTGGCCCCACCACTTTCTAATTGCTTGAATGTGGGCTCATTATTTAATAGCTCTGTGCCTCAGTTTCCTCACATTTAAAAGGGGACTAGTCATACATATCTCATAGGGTTGCTGTGAGTATTAAATGAGTTAATAAATGAAAAGTGCTTAGAACAATGCTGGTATATGCACAAAACACATGTTAGCTCTTGTTGCATGATTATTATTATTTTTTGTGGCCACTGGCTGGTATGGGGATCTGGTATGTGTTTGTAGTATTAATGGACTGGCTGCTGCTTACTTCTCCTGCTCTGGCTAGAGCCATTCTCTCCTGTCTATCCTACTACAGTCCTACAGACCTTTCCCTGGCTCCTCTTTCCTGCCCTAGGGTCTTTGTCTATTGGGAGGTGTTTCTTCTGTCTAGAATGGTGTACTTTTGGCTCTCACATGCCTGCTCCTTTCCAGCCTGCTTGTCTCAGTGTGACTGTTACCTTCTCAGACAGGACCTTCTGACCACCCCCTTTAAGGAGGTTCTTCTCTGATATTCTCACCAATATCCTGTTGGGTAATGTAACAGTTTTCTCAATTTTGAAATTAGTTATATATGTTTTGATACCTTTACTGCTTGCCTGCCAGATGCCACATGGCTAGCTCCTTGAGAATAGTGAAGAAGTCTATTTTGCTTATTATTGCAAACCCAGGGTCTGGCATAGGGCCTGGCATCTGTGTATATGTGAAATAAATTAATGCATATTTCAATGCTATTACTCTACCTCACTCCTCATTGTCCCACTGCTAACTAAACACAAGCATTTTCATAGAGGTGAAGTGATTGAAATGAATATCAAGTGGAGTCTGAAAACAGTTCATAAAAAATAATGTAGCCTTAAGATGTGGTATACTAAGGTGGGGAAAGACTATGCTCTGAGGGTGGTGGGGGCATTTGTGGGCTAGCGGAGTATAGGAACATCAAGGGTGTGTGTGTGTGTGTGTCCCAGGGTGCTTTTCAAAGCAGAAAAGGTTGCTGAGGGTGAAAGGACACTGAAGAGAAGTTTCAGAGATCTTACACCTTTTATGCCATGACTCTGCCAAAGTGGGAAATTTAAAAAAGTTTTTTCTCCCTCTCTGTTTCTGGAGGAAGGCATTTTATTCAATGTGATTTGCAGGCCAATGTATTTAAATTTATGAGCATTAACTGGTTTTGTACTTCCATTCCTCATGGTGGGCTGGCTTCTGACGATATTTTGGAAGAGGATAGAAACAAGACAAAACAAAATATGCATTGTTCCCCTTGTGCTTTAGATGTCAGGCATCAAACAACCCAGAACAAAGTGACCACTTCAGCTCTGCTTCCTCTGACTAGATTCTCACAGTGACACAGACATTGGCCACAATTTCCTCTTTATAGCTTCCCTGTGTACTCCCAGGAAAGTCCCAAGTGACATACCCAGTTGCCAGACCCCACAGACTGAGGTGGCTCCTTAGGGGCTTGGCATAGTCTGCAATGTAAAATGTCTAATGAGACACTCCAAAGCTGTGGAGAGGGAGACATCCCCCCCAGCAAGAGCTGCTGAGAGGGGCTTTCTAATTCTCCCACAGGCTTTGTAAATGGTTTCTGAGACTTTAAGAACAAAAGTCCCACAGAATCGTTGGTTGGCAACTGCTGTGGCTAATTTTATTTTCATCAGGCAAAGCCCAAGGCAGGGATGCCTGAGAGAGATTGTGAAAAGAGTATTTTTCATTTTTCCTTTGGCAGTTAGTCACAAACCAAAATTTGAAATGGCTCCAACTTACATTCTTTGGAGGGAAGAGAAAGGGAAAGAAGGGGGTGGGGAGGGATGGATGGATGGAGGGAGGGATGGAGGGAGGGGGAGAGAGAGAGAGAGAGAGAGAGAGAGAGAGAGAGAGAGAGAGAGAGAGAGGTTATGAAGCATAAACTAACCTCCAAATAGATGATCCATTCTAAAAGTACTGTAACTGCACTTAAGTGGTAGGAAAGAAAACTAAAACCAGAAAATGAACTCCGACCATAGGCTAGGCACTGTAGGAGTCACTTTACATATATTATATCTTATTAAATTATCACAAAAATAAAGTAGTAGTATTTTTATTCCCCTTATGGGAAACTGAGGCTCAGTGAGCTCAACTAACTTTCCAAGATCACATAGCTAGTAAGGAGAAGACAGGATTTAAATCTTGTTTTGTCTGATTCTAAAGTCTATGCTCTTCCTATTAAACCTTGCTGTTTCTATAAAAGTCCAAGTTGGAAGAGGTTTCCAATAACCAAAAAATACTAAGAAATATTTATTGAGCACCTACCATGTGCCAAGCACTATGCAAGGTGCTGTGATTCTGGTGGCTCCAATGGGCTTGATCCTTAATATTGTTGCTAGTTAAAAGGACCCATTGGAAAATGACTCCTCATAATATTAAGTATTCATCCAAAGTGTTTCGTTGTATTAGTTAAGGTATTACTAGGCTGATTTAACAATAGTAAGGTGTACTGAGATCTTATCTCAATTGCTTTTTCATTCTTTCTTCTAACCTCATTGGGTTAGGGTCTCTAATTGTCCTGGCTTTCATAATCTTCACCCTCCTAATGCATTTTTCCAGTCCCCTTACTATCTTTCTTTTCTTTGAACACTAGTTTCTCTCTCTCTCTTTTTAAAGCTTTCCTTAGAAAGTTATTTTTGGGAATTTTCTGTTTGTTTTTTGTTTTCGTGATAGACGCGAATGATTATATACTCCATCGTAACTAAATGAGAAATAAGAATAGGGTCAACATCACTTTCTGAATCAAAGAACACTTTTCTATATATATATATATATATCATAGAGAGAATCAGGTATAAACTGGCCATATACACAGTTGGTAGTGTTCAAAATTGGGGTAATGAATAAATGTGGATATTAACTGTCAAATGCCACCGTAAGCCTCCTGATGGGGCTGTTGTAGTACCTCATGTATATATCTTATTCAGAAAATTCTACTAGTGAATCACATAGTGATTTGTCTGTTAAAACCCAACAGCAAACATTATGTATAATTCTACTATGCACACTGGGTGTCCATTTTCTCTCAAAGATGGCTGAACTTTTAAATGAAAGCTACATAGCTTTGTAATGATTGGAATCTATTTCCTTAGAAATAATATCTGTCCTTTTAGCCATAGAACTTGAGAGGCAAAAACATTTTCACCAACTTTGACACAGGTTAAAATTCTTTAGATATAAATAAATCATTAATATAAAACTTACCTTTAGATGTTTCCCAGCATACAAAGGAGTCAATTAAAGACAAGCCTTGCTTATAATAAAATGTAGTTAACTCCAGCCAATCAGCATCAAGCGTACTAATGACAGATCCTTTTCTTGTTACTTTCATTGACAGGATGCCTTCCTGATAGGTCCAGCAGGTTGAATCATCATCAAAAACATTGAAGACTATATACAACTTGTTATCTAAGGCCAGGCATTCAGAAGGAAGAAAAAGGGGAAAATTATAATTTTATTACGAATTATTAAAATCTCTGTTTTTATTTTATTATTATGTTTTCTTTATCTACTTGTGTTTCTTGGTATAAAAATTTCTTGATTAATCATGAGATCTTTCAAGCATACAAACTAGAATAGAGAATAAAATAAAAGTACCCACGACTCAGCTTAATCAAATGTTAATATTAAGCCATATTTATGTCAGACATTTTTTTTTTTTTTTTTTTTTGTCTTTTGTCTTTTTCCGTGTCCGGCAACGGATCGCAACCCTCAGTGTTGCCCCCGTACCGGACCGGGGACCGGCAACGGGATTGCAACCCTCGGCGTTGCCCCCGCGCCTCGCTCAGCCAGTGAGCGGGAACCGGTCTGTATGTGGGATCCGAACCCTCGGGCGGGAGCGCCACCGCGCTTCCCAAGCGGCGCACTTATCCAGTGCGCCACCAGGCCGGCCCTATGTCAGACATTTTTACACAGAAATGAGAAATTAATACCGTTGAGGCTACTATGTAGTATTACCTTCTCAAGAAATAACTACTATAATGAGTTTGGTGTTTACCATTCTCATATAAGCTTTTACTCTTTCAATACACATTTATATACTCATAAATGATATATAATGTTTTGCAATTTAAAAACTTTATTTAGAGTGTCATACTATAAATATCTTTTTTTTGTTTGTTTGTTTGTTTTTAAATATGACCGGTAAGGGGATCTTAACCCTTGACTTGGTGGTGTCAGCACCATGCTCTCCCAGTGAGCTAATCAGCCATCCCTATATGGGATCCGAGCCCGTGGCCTTGGTGTTCTCAGCACCACACTTTCCCGAGTGAGCCATGGGCCGGCCCTATATATATCAATCTATAAATTGATTTTTTTGTTCAACATTATGCCTTTAAAATGTAAATAACTATATAGATCTTTATCATTTATTTTAACTGCTGCATAGTATTCCAGTTTACTATTCTCCTTTTGATGGGCATATACATTATTTACAATTTTTGTTATTACAAACATTTTTCATGTCTCCATGGACACGTGTGAAAGTTACTCTAGAATACACTTAGACATGGAAATTCTGGGTCATATCTTCTACTTTACTAGAAATCAGAAAACTCTTAACTTGGGGTCTGTGGAACCCTACCCAGGATTGTGTCTTAGGAAGTTTAACATCTCCTGTATACAGACAAAAGTATTTGGATTCCATGGATTTTACCAGATACTCCAAGAGGTTTTTTGTGCACTCCCCTACCACCCACTCATTACAAATCACTGCCATAGAAAAGTTATTAAGAAGTATTTAATTTAAAAATACAAAGCAGAATCTAAAGATAATAATTAAGTATTATATTGAATTTAGAACTTAAAGGATTGGAAATTGACACCTGATTTGATCAAAGTCAAGGTGAGAAACAGCATGGAGTCTAAGGGTAGCAGTGAGAGGAAGAGAGTGAATGGCTCTCTGACCATAGCTCCAACAACTCGTGCTCACTCTTTCATTCTATAATTTTACATTGCAGGAAAATCAGGGTGGTTGTTAGCAAGGGAATTGGTCAGAAAAGGGGAGGGGGCGGTGGTGGTAGTGGGGATGGGTGAGATGATGAATTGGGAAATGCTCCTGGTTCTTTCTTCAGAAGATTGTGTTTATGTGGTCAAATGGATCTCTGCCATGCACAGGCTGTCGAGCATATCTCATTATAACCCAGAAAACCTATGACACCAATGTGTGCTCCTCCAGCACCAAGACTGATCAGAGAATCAGCTGACAGCCAGCTAACCTAATACAGAGCTTATTCTGTGCCAGGTACTAGGCTAAGCACTTTGTAGACATCTCTTGTTTACTTCTCACAACAACCCCATGAGGAAAGTCCTACAATTAGCCTCTTTTTTTTTTTTTTTTCCGT